CAGATGACATATAATGGGCAACAGTGAGAGCTGGCACTGAAGAGGTGACACGTTTCTCACTTCAAACACACATGAACCATGATGAATCTGCAAAGTTTTATGTAGTTATAAATAAACACATGGATAACTAAAGACACTCTTCATAGATAGCCAATTAACACTTTGCAGATGGACCATGAGCTGCTCCCTGGAGACCGATCCTGACATTGAAGTATGCAGGACTAAGGTGGGGGAAGCTTTGCCTCTGGTAAAAGGAGAACACAACCCTGACCTGGGAGTCAGCAACCCCGCATTTCAGAAAAGGTCATCCTCACATGCGCACACACATACAGGAGCAATGCAGAGGTTTGCAGTGTCATCCTTGGCCCTAAATGGCCTCAGCCATTATCAGAGGGAATCTCCACCTGGCTTTGAGGGCTGAGCTTGGAGGGGGACATGGTAGTTGCTCAGGGAACAAAACCAAAGAGTCAAGAGTCAGGGCAGTGGTAAACAGATGCTGGAGTGGACAGTCTGCCCATTTGGTCTGACTGCCCTGCTAGTCTGTGGAGGTTCTGCTGCAGGGAGGCTGTGGTAGAAGATGAGACATCTCGCAGGAGCAAAATGGTGTTATGGAGACCACTGCCAAATGTGGGGCAGAGCTTCGGCAGCCAGGGACTGATGGGACGACACAAGCTTCCTGCCAGCTCTTGGATCACCGCCAGCCCCTCACCAGGGAGCACCTCAGGCATTTTGCTGGGCTGCTCCAGAGCAGGTATTGCCTGTCAAATGGGCAGTAATGCTCAATAACACACAGCAGGTTAGAAAATGGGGAGGTAGAGGGCTGAGAACAGGAAAGGGGAGTATTTTAGACAACTTACCATAGGGGATCAAACACTGAGCTTTGTATTTCCCTAATAAAACATTCAGCATGTGATTTTGTCATGTTACTTGTTCCTGCAGAAGCCAGTTAAAGCTGCAGCCACATACATCAGCTGAACACAGAATGGATGCTAACATCTCTGCAGAGTTAAATAGACAAGCTCATATTTCCACTTAGTGGAGAAAAACTGCCCCTCCTGATGCTTTATGACTTGACAGACAGAAAGAAAATTTGAATGTCTGTGCAGGCAGACAGGAGTAGATGGGGAAAATGATGAATATTTATAATACAGAAGAATATTTAGGTGAGATATTGAATATTACCCAACAGAAATGTGAGTGAAATAGTTTTTAAATGTCTAAGATCTTATATTACCACAGAGAGAGTTGTATTTTGAACATTCAAAATAATTCTGAGTAGCTAATGTAATGAAAGAGCTTCTACTAAGCTATCTTGAAAAATAGCAAAGTTGGCCAATCACACTTGTCAAATAGCCAGAGAGGATTTCATCATATTTCAGAAAAGACTAAATGACTGCATTGGCATTGGTCACCATGGCAGCCCTGTGGGACAACTGCATATGCCTGTCCCCCATGGCTGCACCTACAGCTACAGTCACTCCAGAACAGGCAATCACTGACAGCCAGGAGAGGAATGTCCACATGGCCAAACCTACCCAAGCCATCTCTGAGGGGCTCAGTCAGGTTTTAGTAGGCAGGAAAAGACAGTGGCCACTTCCTACCCCAATGTCTCACTCCTTCCAGCTTCGATCTCCTTGGTGTTTTCTTACTCTTTGTTCTGCCAAGGGTCTCCCAGAACTTGTTATTTTCCTGTGCCATTTGTCTCTGTGCAGACCCTGTACTGCTGCACACACCACCGGTATGACCTGGTGCTCTCCCTTGGCAGGGCAATGCTACTATCAAAGTCCCACCATGGTGGGATCATGGCAGCTGCTCAGCCCTGAGGAGAGGGTTTTTGCAGCAGGCTGAAGTTGGCCAACACCTGCACTCCTGTCCTTTGCTTCCACATGAAATAGAGAATAGAAACTACAACCTCAGATGCTTGGCAAGAAAAAAAGAGAGCTGAATGGAGAATTTTACCCTCCCTTGATTTTATTTAGCAAGTTTATGGAGGAGAGTTGTTCTTTTAGCCAGGGAATTCTGCATCACAAACAGATTGGTATTGTTTATGCTGAAATTAGATGCTGAAGAAGCAAATCAGTTTGCGAAAAAGTATATCAGCATCTACAATGCAACAGAAAGAGTAAATAGGCTTAATTAGTCACTAGACAAGGAACTAGATTAGCGTGTTCTTACATATATTTAAGAAATGTAAGCACTTAATCCTACACAGTGCACTTTATTTCTTATGCTGGAGAACTCATCTTCACAAAGATGACTATTTGAACAGCTGCATGGATCAAGGACCATCTATCCCAGTAGCCACAGCCACTGAGTAGATGCTGGACAAGAGCTTAGTCTAAGGGAAGGCAGCAGTGAAGCTTTTCCCCTGTACACTGGGCTTCCCCTGCATATTGGTCCCTTGCAATCCACTTCACTGGCTTTCTGCTAGGCATAAGAATAGGAAAACAAATGTAGAGAGTTAAAAAAAATTATCAGTGAGAGGCTTGAAAGAAAGCTCCTGGCCCAACCCCTGACAGCTGACATCCTCACCTCACCTCATCACTGCCTTATGCTGCAGCATACAGGTTTGCCAAGGGGCATCATCCCTGTGCTACTGCCTGGTACTGTTTCTCCTCTGTGATAGGGGAGGGAAGGTTTTGGCAAGAGGATGCCACAGACAAGCTTAGTAGCTTCCTACAATGTTCTATTGGACGTTCTTATTTTCCTGATGTAGGACTGAGAGATTATTATAAAGGGAAACTCTAAAAATAGTCAGACAAAGAGAAATATAATTCTTCATCTCTCAGAGGATGCAAAGGGCTCATATGCACTGCTCTGTGCATTCCAGACAGTGTTAGAGTGAAACGGGATGCTTACAGCTCATCATACCCTCACTGCTTTATTTACTATTCTGTTTCTTAACCATGACCCAGGTCTCCATCAAGCAACCACCTCCACTGGCCAGGACCACCAAGGCTTAGCAGTGTCCATGTAGGAATTGTGCCATTTACCATGGCCTGGGATTTGTGAGCAGGACATCTGATTTCCCTTTAGGGAACAGCATCCATCTGCAAGCTGACTTGCAGTCATTTGAGTGTGTGGTATCGTGCGGGATGACATCAAACCATTTACTTAATTCCAAGCATTTCTCTGCACCCACTAATGACCATTTCACCCAAACCCAGTTAGGTTAAGTTTGCACAGACACTCTGAATTTGTTTAAGAAAAAATACCCTAAATTATTGGGAAACTGGCACAGGGTAACACTCACATGGGGAATCAAATCTCCCAACTGGTTGATCATCTGCTTTCTGGTGGTAGCAAGAGTCTCCATTGCAGGGGTCCTTGTGGCAGCATATTCCCACCCAAGCTGCCCTTTTATAGACAAGTTAGAGTGCCAATTTAAACACACTGGCAAGTTTCTGAGTGCAATTGGGAGTGTACTGGAACAGACTCACCTCATTGCTAGAGGAAATGATTCATATTAGTATCTGCTTTAACAAGGGAACACAAAGTTCTCTAAAAACCAAATTTCAGTGCTTTCCACAAAGGATCAGTAACATCTCCAAATAAATAAGAACTGTACTCGGGCATAAAAGGCCTGTAACCCGCTGAAGTGTGATTTGTTAAGACATATGTGGTGACTAGCAAGCTAAATTAGTTCTTAAGCCATATTCATTAGCTTTCACTGAGCTCACACAATAAAAACAAGTTGCATTTCAGTATTATCAAATGCAGCTGGCGCCACTAAGCAGGCAGATCAGAGGAACTGTTTGCTTCCTTAAGAAGTGCAGCACAATGTATGTATGATAGGCTAGCAAAAAAAAAGAGCTAAATTCCATTTCACCTTAAGTGTCATAAGCTCAAGCACATCAACACTGGTAACAGCAAGTTCAATTTACAGTCTATACTTACACATGGCTTTTTTGTAACAGCTTAAGTTTAGCATCAGAGGGACAAGCTGTGCATGACAAAGAAGACTTCTGTAGCCCCAGAGAGGCCATAGCTAGTAATATTATCTTCCTCCAGGATCCCATATGTGATTAGGAGAACAATGCTCATTAGTTTCCTTTCAATACAACTGAAATCTCAGCACAGCTACTTCTCAGCTCGAAAGGATTTCAAAAACTGCTCAACAAAACTAATTTAGTTTAATTAAACTTATCTATATTTTATAGACAAAGCACATCTCAGACAATGTGTAAAACTTAGAGATAGCACTGACCCAAGAGATTTCACTCCTGGGTAAAGCCGCTAGCTGATAGCCCAGTGTAATTTAAGCAATCATTTTTACATGACTGAATCTGATGAATAGTTTTCTTTGTGAAAAATGGCTTCTGTCCAGACATGGACAAAAATAGGTAATGAACAAAGCATTCTTGGAACAGATCAACATCTCTCTACTGATTTAATCATAGCAATACCTCCTAACAGGCCCAAAAAGAATTTTCTTCTGCATTAGGCTTTCTAATTCCTTGATGTTCTTGACTGACTCATTTGCCCTTGAAATTTGGGGAGCATTTAATTATAAAAATGTCCACTACTTCATTATAAAATGCTCACATGGTATAGACTACCTTGATAGCAATTTTTATAATTTACAAAGACAACAACAATGCATTTCTCTGGCATCTAGTTCCACCTTTTAAAGATAAAACTTTCAGATCCTTCTGAGAATAAAACATTAATTTGAAAGGATGAGATTTAAATTAAGAAGATCTGCAAAAAAAACAGAGAAGAGAACAATATAACAAAGAAATCTAATGAAATGTGGTCCAAAAGTGAAGGTAATACTCTTACCCTACTAAAACAATTTATTTGAAATTGTATGTCTCTTGGTGTTCAGATGTGTTCTGGATCTTCTAGCTTGAAGCACAGTGGGTGCAAGGTTTGGCTCTGTTCTGCTCAAGGTCCCCATCAAATTAGCAACAAAAGTGGCTGCTGCACAAGAAAGTATTACTGTCCTTTAGCTGCCTGCCACCAGCATTCTGACTGAATTGTTGTTAATGTCTTAAACATTGTTTAGAAAGACTTTTTATCAAACTGCAAGGAACCAACTACCTGCCTGGGACCACTGAAGCACACCCCTTTTTCTTGATCGGACTTTGGACTTTGAGTGGGGACTTGAGATAAGACTGTTGTCTAATCATCTCAGGTCTGAGGAGAAGTAAACAAGGCTCAGGGAAGAAGAATGTATCTGTGCTAAGAATCTGCCCTAGCTGGGCTTGTGGGGTGGCAGAGGAGAAGGGGTTTGGGTGTATGATGGCGGAATCTCTCCACACCAAACCGAAGGAGTAAACCCCCTCCCTCCCGCCCCCCCCTCCCCTCCGCTCTGGGAAGATCACATACCCATGGGACATTCACGTGAGAGGCAGCTGAGAAGGGCTCATAAACCATCAAAGACCCCCAAAGCGCCCCCCCCCAACTCATTCCTGAGGCCTTCCATCAGCAGAGGACTGCATAGGATCCAAATGATGCAACAAATGCAGAGCCTGTCACAAGAGACTGCAAAGCTTCCCTTCCTTCCCCCCCATCCCCCGCCCCCAGGGGCGCTGACTGGGCATCTCCTGAACGTATATTAATCCATTGGACTCTTATGTTTTACGGGATCCTCGCCACCAAGAAGACCAGAAGAAGAGGACCAACAGGACACTGCAGGTTCCACAGTGATGATACATCTTCTATTTCAATCTCTGTCACTCTCTTCCCTCCACCTCCTTTTTCCTATTTCTTTCTGTCTCTCTTTCTCTGTCTCACATTTACCATTAAATAAAACCCATACTATTGACTTTGGCATCTGGTCTTGTTTTCACCTTAATTAGGGCAGAGGCATTTCTAATAATTTTAATAACCAGATTCTAACACTGCCCAATTACCAAAACAGATGGCATAAAGATTCATCTGTTCCAGGACAGAACCAACCAGCTTAATTTAAACCTCAGGTTATTAGCCACAGGAAGGTTATGGCTGGGGGGTGTAACCTCCTGCATAAAAGCAGCAACATCCTGAGCCACAGTGGCCATTTCTGCAGCAGCTGCAGCCTACCATGGCTCAGCATCCCTGCTGTAAGGCATACTCAATCTCTCACAGGATATAAGCATCAATCAGGTCAAACTAGAGAGCAGCACAATAAAGAAAAATACCCATTAGCAACCTTTACTAAGAGACATTTCCTTCTTGTATTTTATATCAGTTTTGTCATATGTATCCAGGATTATAGGAACCCACAGGGTCACTTCAGTATCTTCAGATCTTGTACTATTTTTTATAGCCTGAATTGAATGTTCTCTACCACAGTTCTCTGTTTTTTAATGTTTTGCTTCAGGCATATCTCTCTCTTTATGAGTATGGCCAGACAGCAGACACACCAGTCAGTGCTCTAGCTGGACTCAGTCAGTTGCAGGAGGAATAAAAATTATTTTTTATTTCTAGTCATATAATATTTAAAGAAAAATACCCATTAAAATGTTGAATATTAATTTGCAACCCCTTATGTTAGAGCCTAAGTTTCTTATACTCTTTACACAATTTAATGTGTTGCATCAGTAAGGTCTTCACAAAGTGAACACGGAACAGAAATTTCTATGATGCTGAGGCAAAACAGTAGCTCTGCAAGGACATGTTTTATATGACTCACGAAAACATTGCAAGTTGAACATCTTCAGTAACTAGCACGCTTAGTGTAAGTCTATTTAACTCATCTAAAAAACGCCCAAATTCTTCAATGCTCTCATGACTTTTACCTGATTTCCAGTTTTCATTCAAAGAGGCTTCAAACAAACTGTAATAAATTATCCAGTAAACAAATGTCTCCATTATTTTGTACACAACAAAGAGAAAAATTGATTCTGGATAAAAGCCTGCTAAACTTTACCATTATATAAATGTCTAGTGTATAAATTGAAAATTAACTAAATGTACTAGATTTACTCTTACACTACACCTAGATATAAATAAACACACTAGAACTATTCTAGTAGCAGAAGGAAATCGACCACTATTAGTAAAAAAGTATAAATGCAAATTAATCTGAAAATTCATTATGTAAAACAACATTTCCTGCTTGGCAATTTAAGGATGTCTCCTGGTCAATAGCCTCGGAAAATACTCACCACCATACTCAGATCTTTCTTCCTCTCCTGAAGGAGTCTCCAAAGGGGACTTTCTGTAGGCTGCAACCTACAGGGGTGAAGAAGCCTGAAACTCATCCCAGCAACACAACACCTGAAGGTAAGGGTCCTGCACAGAAGGAGGTTCAGATGCCAAGTGGGAGGCTGCTCTTGCTAAACCACAAGTGACTTAGAAGTTGTGGATTCAACTACTTAAAGTCATCAGTGAAGTCTTTGATTACAGGCAAGCCCAATCATTTCCATGCTCCCATTTCTCCTGTGTAAAGCTAGGACTATAATGCTTATAAAGTACAAACTTGCAAAAGTTTGGGATTTGTTCTGATACTACAGTGGCACATGCTGTACCTGTGACACAAAGGAGACAGGTGATGGATGGTATCCCAAGCTGGTCCCGCTCCACCTGCCTGTTAGCCCTGGACACACATGGCAGGTTGAGAGGTCCCTGGGTGTGAACAGAGACAAGTTCCCTGAAAAATACCCTTCAGTCAAGTCAGCTCTGAAACTGATATTTGTTTGGTGTGTTGACATGTTTTTTCTTACACCAGAAAAGCACTCCCAGAAGCAGGGCTGGTGAGGAGCCTCTCAAAGCAGATCTACAGCTGATGGGAATGATAAACCAGGATCATAGCACATGCAACAGTTGCTTGTTCTTAGATACATTCATGGCATGGAGAATCTGCCTTAACCTCTTCCCTCTTCTTCACATGGCTCCATTCTTGTGAGAGTCACGCTCTAAAAACACACCATACCCTCAAGGGCACTTACATTTGAACTAGATGGGCCAACTTCATAAGGATTTGAGAAACAATTACTCTATATCAGACAACACAAATACATTAGAAACTTCATGATCTCAAAATACAAAAGTAAAAGCACCTGAAAAAATTATTTTTATGCAGACAATGAAAACGACACAAGATTAGAAGTGCAGCACAATCATTCCAATATACATAATTTAATTTTTAGTCTTATTGTTCAGTGGGTAAGAATATTTTTCTCACATGCCAGCATACAAATCTAGGAAGAAATAGGAAATCTTTGGGTTTTTACTTGCTTTCCCCAACAAACTATGTTCACTCTTCTCAGAGCAAAGCTTTGAGCTGATAGACAAGAGGTGATGTACAAGACAACTGACGACCACCAAGTACACCATGAATCTACTAATACCTCTCAACAACCATCATCCATATCTAAATCATCTTTGAACAGCTTTCTGCTGGTGGTGCTCCTTGCACTGTAGTTTGCTGCCTTTCTCCATGACTGCAGGAGCAGGACCTCTGCTATACCAGCACAGAGGCATTTGTTGACACTGCTCATCACATTCACTGCAGTGTTCACATCCTGGAGCATGGGACACGTGCACCAGTCACAATGGCACCACAGTGGATCCTTCTTCATTAACAGATTCATAGTGATGCTATTCCCAGATCACAATATTTTCCAGACCCGCTGTGGCACTGTAGACTAAACAAACACTGCATCAGCTGCTAAGCAGGTCCAATCATTCATGTTTAGCTGTTTTTGAAACTCAGTCATTTCTTCTTGTTCCATATTGTCAAGAAGGAGCAGATGGCAGATGTGCTCTGCCTATAATATTGTTTTTATGATACTCTGCCTGCTGGCAGAACGCTGGAAGCAACATTTGGAGACAAGAATTTGCAGTGTATTTTCAGTTTTAGATTTGACCTAAAAGATAGCATAGGTTCTGATAGATTTCTTTGGGGCGCAGGGGAAGGAAAAGAAAAGTGATACTGACAAAAAAGGAGCATTTAAAATGTTCATATGGGACCTCAAAAAGATACAACTTTGAGACAATGCATACTTCATGATTTGCTGAAGGGAAGCAAAAGAGCAAAGCCCTCATGCATTTGTACCTACTCAGTGTTTTACTCTCCATTCTCCCTGTGTAAGCTTCATTAAGACACAGGTCTGCTGAAAAGAGACAATCATCACTTTACATGCCTCTTTGCTGCCAAAAACTTATGACAGCAAACACTGGATTTTCCTGCTCTCCTTTGTTTTCTGACACAAGAGCCTTTCCTTTGCTAAGGTTGTTTCAGAGATGTGTAAAACTCTCCGCAGTTTTCAATTGTTCTACATATTGCCTGCAAGGTTTTTCCATCCTTTTTTTTTCCTGAACAATGTGCCAACCTTCTTGAGAGGGTAGTCAAGAATGCAAGCAAGAAGACAAGAATTTGGGTGCAAGTAGTAGAAAAAAATCTACTTATATAACTAAGAATTTGGTATCATATTAATAATTTTTCTTCAGAGAGAATGCCTGCTTCTTTCCTTCCCCATGCAAGGACTCACACTGCATGTGTCTTGCTGCTGTCCCTCAAGATGCAGCAGTTTTGGGCCAGCATGTACAAAGTCTGCAGCAACCAATCAGAGTTTGACTGGAGAAACTTAAAAATATGCTGAACTATAAATCATTTTTCTTCACTATATTTGGTCATAACAAACAAAACGTAGCTCACTTCCAATCGTAAGTCTACCATAAAATCTACTTTGCAACCATTTCATCAGGCAGTGTTATGCTCTACTATTCTGTGGCATCACTGTGTTCTCATTCATACGGGATTCAAATGCAAGACTCAGTTTTAGCTTCTAAAAGTGTTTTTCTGAATTGCCTAACACCGGTGACAGAATCACAACAGAAATGGTAACTAGAGGATAAATATATGCTTCATAACAAAGCTGAAAGAGACACTGTAAGTTTACATCAAGGCTCCAGAAATTTTTATTAAAATATTTTTTAAATATGTGCATGAGAGACTGAAGAAGTATTTTTAAGTAAAATGACTTGAGCTGCCAACAGAATTTTTCTTTAATAATATTAATACACATATATCTTCCAAAATAACAACAAACCTGACACAGTTAAGAAAGGAACATCCTGTTTTCCTTTAAAGCAACATTAAAAGAAAAGATGATAATTGCTTCAAAACTTGGAGATTTTAAATTATGAATGTGTTACTGCAAAATGACATCTGGGGACTTAGGTTGAAAAGTTCATTTAGAAAGCCTTATAAATCAAACTAAATATTGTCTCTAATCTGTGAGTCAATCTAAGGCAATCCCATTGCATGTGGAACTCATTTATCTACATCCACTGGTACCCAGCTGCCCAGATGCCAAATTCATTTTGCGTAAACTACTGACAAAATTGTAGAGATGTCCCAGGGAAGAAAGTGTGCAGAAAAATAATTAGCTGTGACTGCTGAGCAGATGCAGAACAAGCTCTTCATCCTCTGCCAGAGAAAGTCCAGTATCTAATGGCAAATAAGGGTCCTCCTCTTGGCTGAATTTTACCTTCTTTCTTTTGAGTGGCATTTCTTCTGCTGTGGTACTGTTGCTATAGCTTCTCTTCTTTCTTCCACCCTTCTCCTCAAGTTCACTGCAGAAACAAATCAATTAGTCTTTTTAACAACTGTGGTAATCAATATCATAATGTAATCTAACAATTCCTTTTAAACAAGGCAAATTTATGTCAAGATAAGAGCAAATGAAATTACAATTCTGAAGGGTGAAGCAATGGAAGCTGATGAACTCTGAATGTCTAAACTGGAACTGCTCTCAGGACGAGGTGGCGATGGATGTTTTGCTGTCTTAATTGATTACAGTGTATCAAGATATCACTATCATTGTTATCTAATATTTGCTGCCTCATACAGGAACAGACAACTTGACAAAACTGATTTAGCAATGTGTCAGTGGACCTTGACATGCATTCAAGATCTTGTCTAAAATAAATATGCGACAAAAATAAAAATATGAGAACTGTCACTTCATTGGCAGATCCTACATTTAATACAGTTTTGATTTGGGACCATCTCATTCAACCACTCTTTCCCCTCCTTTCAGAAGTTTTCCTTGGAAGCTATTAACCACCACTCTGTCATGAGAGCAAGAGGAAAAGCCCAAACACAGTAATTTTCCCTGGTGAATTCCTATTTCTTCTGCTGCTTTTCTTAAGACTTGAATGAATTGCCTTTTGCAGCCTTTGATCTGGACAAAACAGTTTTAATACCCTGGATTCTACCACATGGCCACGTAACAACAATGGGAGGAAAGACTGAGCTTTCATGTATCTCCATGGGGTTTTTGTCCAAAACATAGAAAAACTGCTATAAATCATCTAAGATTAAAGCAACCTAACCTAATAAAATCTATTCTAAGGTATAATATCTGTGTACCAGGTTATAGAGAGCTGGTTGTCCTATGCTGTAGGGTATTCATACCCCAAAAAAGCAAAATGCAACCCCTCATACCCCAAACCATTCCCTCCAAACAAGGTAACCAAAACAAAGTGGCAATCTCATTTTTCACATTTGTATTTTTTCAAATATACCAAAAGTAATAAATGGAACTTCAAAGACTGAGTTTAGGCTTTTCTAAAATAGTTGGATAAATTCAGATTTTCAACTAAAATTTGGCAAATTTCTAGCCAGAAAATTCAGTTTACTTGAAAAAAAAAGTTTCAACAAGGATTTTCCTAATGTCCATAACTTTTACAATTGTTTAAGTGTAAATTTAGTGCTTTGCTGACTTCGAGCTGTCATTTGCATGGGGGTAGCTTTTCAGGGCTTGCTACCAACATTTTATTCCTTTTCTGGGGAAAGGACTCTCATATTTTCTCTGCAGTGCTTAAGATATTCCATAAATGCTGAAGCTATACTGACAGTATATGAAAATACACTAAAGCACTAACAATTCTCACTTTTCCAAGTGGACAGTATGGGTCTGGGCTAGAGTTTCATGGTGTTCGCTTTGATCAGGACAGACTACAGGGGTTCACTTTCAAAGCATAAGGAAGGCCTCATGAAATAAGAGCATTTTATCTTGTTTGCAAAAGAGCCAATTACTTCCAGCCTTTGAAGGGACTCAGAAGCCCAGTTTGCATTCATAATTGACTAATGCTTCATCTAGGACATTAGTTCAAAACATCTGAGCAATTAAAACAATGCAGAAATCTCACAAGCTATGAAACAGCAGACTTTAATAACCAAAAATTATAATCACTTTTGGAGTTTCAGAGGCCCAAGGCCTAGACATCTGTAAGGTATAATGTTTAAATATAAAACACATTTAGAAAGAACTTAACTGTGAGTTTTCTCATTTTTTCCACAGACAAAAGCATATCAACACAATTATGACCAATTTTCATCATAAATTTTGTGGGATAATTATGCTGAGTCAAGCCACTTCTTACTATTACTGAGGGATTGCAGTGCTCAATTTGTAGTATAAACTAAAGATGTATCTACATGTTAGCAGGAGTATTTTCACACTAATTTGACCCCTACTGGGCTGTGAGCTGGAGTGGTGAATAAAGAGGAATATTTAACACAGGAAGCAGCAGCAGCAGAGCTACCAAGCAATGAAGAGGGCTAAAAGACTTGTGTTTTCATGATGCTCATAAATTAGAAGTAAAACAATATTTAATAAAGGTGACTTAGGAAGGTAATGAGAATCACATGAAACATGTGAATAAGATGCTCCTAATTCTGAGACGAAGAAGGAAGACAGACTGTCTGTCCATAGAATGATTTCCATTGAAAGGGACCTTTGAAGATCAGCAAGTCCAACCCCATGTCGTGTTCCTGCAGGATGGATTTTTACCAGCAGTGGCATGGAGAGCGGCTGTACTACTCTGGAGGAGCAGTCAGAGATCTAGGTTTTACAAAAGGTGAAAGAGGCAATTTTAAAAGGAAGATGGAAAACATGTGTCATTGTGATGCTCAGGGACATCCTGCACTCCATTGGTGTGCTTCTCCTTAGCTGTTTTGACAGAAACTCTTCGAAGGAGATGTAATAGGCGTAACCCTCAGGTCCACATGTGAAAGGACCAAGTGTACAAAGGCAGCTATACAGGGATGACTTCTGCACTTACTGTCAAATGGATTCTTCCTCAGTCTCCATTAACTGAAGGCCTCAGCCCACTCTGCAGAGCCAATCTTTTTATTGTTGGTCACTTCCTATAAATGGCCCCTTGTTCCTCACAAACACACAAACTGATGCACTACCAGTTGGTACCCACAAATAGCCAAAATAAAATAAAGTTATTTTAAGGTGAACTATTTTCTAGCAGAACAACTCAGTTAGAAATCAACCCCACAATTCAGATTCAAACCAAAGCCAGTGCATCTTTTTGTCTTCTACTTATAACACTTTAAAAGTGGTATGTGCAGCTGGTTTACAATTCCTTCCTTTTACCATCTGGTGCAATTTAGCTTTTCAGCCACATGAACGATCCATCTGAGGCTGCCTGATGGAAGGATTTACTTTCTGTTTACACAGGTGAGGAGGTACCAACAATCGACTTATCAACAGGCACGGTAATTTCTGTGGTCACCATTTGCACAGCTGTATCAACAAAGTAAGATACTATCATTCGATAGGTAGTATTTATTACTCAAACACTAAAGCATGGTTTATGAATCCTGTCCCTTAAACCAGTGCCAGCATATATGAATGGTTATCTGGGAAACAGGGAATCTAACTAGGACCCTGATAGCTATACACCAAGAAAGTCTTAATTTAACTACCAAAAAATAATTTCACAAGTGTGTTTTGAGGTAATACCAGGAAAAAATAGAAAGCTTTTAATTGTTAGTATTTAACTCGCTTCTGGGCTTCAAGCTATGTCTTGGCAAGCTGCAAAGTTTAAATTTTAAGTGCTTAAGAACCAGCCATTTGAAATGTGCAGCCACAGAGCCAAGTTGCTGTTGTTTAAACAGTGGTAATGTGAGATGCCTAGACAGGCTCTGCCTCACTTAACATTTATCAGAGAATGCTTTGGAGCCTAGTTTTACCAGCACTGCTCTGGAAACAAACTGCCCTTGCCACTGAATTACAGGCCATGAGTCAAGTTTCCAGTTGCAATAAAGCACACAAGCTCTTTCCCAAAGAAATGTACAGGAATAATGAATGAATCTGCTAATAAAATACAGTTCAGTAAAAGTTAGGAATAACTTATCCCATAAATATTGGCATTTTGCTAATCAAACATGCTGTGCCCAAAACTTTTTCCACGTAATAAATTTTAATTCACACAGCCATGGCAGCAATCCTAATGAAGATTAATTACTGCAGTCCCTTCCATAAAGCCCAGTGCAGCTTCTTTCTTACTTGCTGTCAGAATGCTACAGCCCATAGAAACGGTAATGAAAATGTACTGTGCTGTGTTATTTTCTGGATCTGGACAGGCTGGATTGATGGGTTGAGGCCACTTGTATAAGGTTCAACAAGGCCAAGTGTTGGGTCCTGCACTTGGGTCACAACAACCCCAGGCAGTGCTACACGTGGGGGAAGACAGTCTGGAAAGCTGCCCAGAGGAAAAGGAGCTGGGGGTGCTGGTCAACAGCTGCTGAACATGAGCCAGCAGTGTGCCCATGTGGCCAAGAAGGCCAATGGTATCCTGGCCTGTATCAGCAGTGACCAGCAGGACCAGGGCAGTGATCATCCCCCGTACTTGGCACTGGTGAGGCCACACCTTGAATCCTGTGGTCAGTTTTGGGCCCTTCACTACAAGAAAGACATTGAGGAGCTGGAGTATGTCCAGAGAAGGGCAGCAAAGCTGGTGAAGGGTCTGGAGCACAAGTCTTATGAGGAGCAGCTGAGGGAGCATGGGTTGTTTCACCTGAAGGAAAGGAGGCTCAAGGGAGACCTTATCACTCTCTACAACTGCCTGAAAGGAGGTTGTAACCAGCTGGGGGTTGGTCTCTTCTCCCAGATATGAAGCAACAGAACAAGAAGTGGCCTCAAGTTGCACCAAGGGGAGATTTAGATTGGATATTAGGAAATATTTCTTGATTGAAAGGCTTGTTGTCAAGCACCGGAACAGGCTGTCCAGGGAGGTGGTAGAGTCCCCATCCCTAGAGATATTGAAAAGACGTGCAGATGTGGCATTCAGGGACATGGTTTAGTGGTGGACTTGGAAGTGCTAGGCTAACAGTTGGACTCGATGATCTTAAAGATCTTTTCTAACTTAAATGATTCTATGATTCCCTTACTTGCCATTCCACTGATATAAAGCAAAACACCCCTAAAATTAAATATATAAAGAACCACTGCAGTAAAAGGGATGAATAATCTACTTTTAATGAAACACCACTGCAATACAACTAAAAGCAAAAGACAAATCTGTCTTGGAGCTGAAGGACTGGAAGAAGAATAACATGTAAGAGGGAAAAAAAATTAAATGGAAACCAGACCAGCAAGAGAGTATGCTTAGTGTTTCGTATTATTCTACAGGAAGTACGCATAAGATTTGATGGCAAAAGGCACTCAGCTCAACCATCAACATCTCACTTCTGTTCTAAAGCTCTAGTGGTGGTGGACTCAAATCAGATCTCTGAAGTTGTAACAGCACTTTTCTTCTCCGTTTCCATCACA